CACAGCCTGTCATTGAATTGATTTAACCATTAAGAATAATTCTTAAACTGCAGTGCCATCCTTACAGTAAATCTTTGAATTTTCATAGCTTCAATCTCAAATTTTATGTGCTTTAGAGCCCTTTATATGATTTTGTTAAAAACCACCTAGTTTTAAAGCCATACTTAGCACCCGTGAAAGCTATGATCTGCCAGCCAAGAAAAACTTTGTGAAGAACAATTATATACCTATACACCTGCATAAATGCCGGGTAAGTCAAAAGCATGACGGAGTAAAAGACAAGTAACTTGAAACTATCCAATGGTTACAAGAGGGTGACACAACAAGCCGCCAAGAGGCAAGTGAATGAGGAGAGAGAGAGACAGATGTACTGCAAGTTGCAAAGGCTGACAAGTTAGGAAGCATGACAGGGATGGATGATACCTAATGAGATGAGATGGGACTGAGCTTTCTTTTTCTCCATCTTTGTGTCTCAAGAAGCCAATCTCAAAGTCCCCCAGCTACCGTTGTTTGTGCTCAGATTCTCTGCAGGGATTAAATAAGTCTGTCACCTCTTTCACTATTTTATCATATATTTTATAGCCTTTTGCAAAACATATCAATCATTGGCAACTGGAACGAACCACTCATGGTGCTCTGAGGATTTACCCCAACCCCAAATTCTTGTTCCTCTTTTCCTTCAAAATTTTACTCTCTCCTCTCTTAAGTTTCTTGATACCCAGAGACCATACAAAGGCTTCTGTGTTGGTACAGTAGTCTTCCGTTCTTCTGCCTAATGCTGTCCGATATCAGGTCAAGTCTAGGCCCTACTGTTTCTCTATTCCCATTTTTTATCCCTCTGGCCACGCAAACCAGTACCACTTTGCCGTCTCCATTCTTTAGTTTCGTTTGCATGCTTATGATTTCTGGCAACAGTTGCATATTCTTTTACAATTATATTAATATTGTAAAAAGATTGGTAAATTAAATCGAGTGACATTTTGGCATCAAATTACTTTTATCCCGTTTCCATTTCCATCCATACAAATTGGAGTTATCTATAACGTTAACATATGAATTATATTGAGTGAAGAGCAGGTCAAGTCATGTGGGTTCCGTACTTGAATAATTAGCTGGAGAAAAGCAAGGGTCGACCATGGTGAAGAAAATTGGTGTTATTCGCGACATGCATGCATTTCACGTCCTTTCCTTTAAATATATTTTTTTGTTATCCAAAATTTATTCCTTCAGTCAAATTGCATAAACAAGTTGCTGAATGAGCATATCCTATCGTATAATTGAGTCAAAAGAAGAAATGACAATACATTCAACAACTCTTAGTCTTTCTGCAATTTGGACTCCCACTTTAGGCTGTCTCAATTTGCTATATTTTTCTTTGACATTGACCATAGAGTACATATACATATTTGCACTTGAACAATCCCGTGATCGGTTTTGAGTTCCTTTTGGAAAAAGGATTTGTTCGTAGTGCTTTCGAATTTGCCAAGGTTCCTTGAGTTTAACTAAATTCTCTGTTCAATCTTCGTGAAGAAATATTAATACTTGCATGAACTTGGATATACAATTTCGTAATAGAAGCACCATGTATGTTCTTGGAGTGAACATAAACATATTTTGAATGTTCTAGGATTAAAGGAAGAGAAAGTGGTAAAATATTCATCAAAACACACAAGGAGAAGGGTCTCAGTTTCTGTGAATTTATCCTGTTTATTTATTTTAAAATGTGATTAAAAAAGTAAGAAATTTTATTGTTATGAGCTCCAAGATATGAAGAGAGGAAGAAAGAAGGAGCAATTTAATCCTGAGGGACCAACTGAATTGGGTTAAGTGAATTCAATGGCACCAAAGTTTGAAGTTGGACAGTAATCGGCATTGGCTAAAACAGTGTGACCAATTGGAAAAGGTCGCCTTTATTGAACATGGAACCTGCTACCTGGTGACTCTGCCTCTGCCAAGTCCCACCAGACTAATTAAACCAATTACCAACCCTGCTGGTTTCTCTGCCTTCTGAATGTTGATTGGAGCACTCCCGAAAAGGTCAAGGAAAAATGAAAGCCCACACTGGTGATTGGGTACGATGAACCTGCATCACAACTAGTCACGAGCCTTAACCCTGATTGGCTGCCTAATCTCATTTTGAAGGCCTTGTTCCCCATGGTGAATGACATTACCATTATGATAACAAAACAAGGACCTCCTAAGTCAAATCAATCACAGCCCTTTTTAGATTTCCTCCAACTTATTCACCTCGGAAGCCACACGCCACATTACTACTCTATTGCTTTATTGATTTGGTTAATGCTACTACTATATAATTGTACTGCCTTGGAATTCTCATTGAAGGGCCCATGAATATATGCCTCTGCAAATACGAAAAAATTCTGCATGGGAGTCCATATTATAGGCCCATGGGCTCCTTTTTTCTTCGATTTTTCTTTGTTTGTTATTGTTGTTGTTGATTCAGCCAACCCCCTCTCCATTTTTTCACATAAACTCCACATCTGAAAATACCTTTATGCCACTATATGGCATTGATCATGCTCATCCCAACTCCCCTGTTTTAACAAGAGAAAGATCACATGGATGACAAATATTTGATAGAATTTCAATAGAAGAATCCGTGCAAGACTGTGCACTGAAAGTGGTTTCGGTATTTTGGACAGAATTCATTAATCAGGGAATTAGTGAAAGGCAAAAAGGGGTAAATTTTGTCCCAAATTAAGTGCGAGTGGCAATCTCTGCTGCAGCTTCAAAGATGCAATGGCGTTTAACAAGTTATGGGAAACTTTGGGGGCCTGTGACTATGGCATTGCCACCCAATCCATTAATTAAAGCTTTGGTTCCGTCCCACTCTGCATCCAAACCCTACTGTTTGCTAACATCATCGGAAAGAATTGTTTGAGGAATTGGGAGTGAAACAAAAAGCCCATATTACTCGAAGTTGCATGAGAAGAGAGATCATACATGGCCACGTCAAACTGCCCCCTCCCTCCAGCCCTGGTGTGCTTGATGTCCGGCGAAGCTCTGCCTAGGGTTTTACACTTTTTATTGTGGCAGCCGGATTACAACGTGACAACCCATGTGATTCCTCTGACTCCAATCTATCAATGAATGTGGTCCTCTTCACATGTTGAGAGCCATACACCACTTTCCATGTGGCGTCACTTCCATCATTTTCTTTTTTAAAATGTTTTCTAACACATGACATGGGCTTCTCCCTTTCTCCCCCCCACCCCCACTATTGGATCCCTCGTTATGTACTGACACAAACAATTGACTTTTTGCATCTTCATATACAAGTACGTTCATTCTGTCTCATCAAACAAATATATATATATATATAAAAGAACAATTCATAGAAACTTGCATTGCCCTATTCTTTTAGTATTGTTGCAATTACTAATTTGGGGTCTTCACCTAGAATATCATAAAGAAGAAGTAATCAAATTAAGAAGAGATTCAACAGGCATCTATAAGAGCATTAGAGAGGAGCAAACTGAAAAGATGAAGGTTTTTTGTTTGTTGGGAGTTGAAAGTTGAAACTTGAGAGATTCCAAGGGCTCAGCTCAATGGTAGAGCAGCATGTGGTGGGGATGAAGCTGATACAAGAGACCTCGGGTTTAGTGCAGCAAAGGGCAGGCAGCAGGTAAGCCAAGCATATCACTCTTTGCTGGACTCTCTCTGTCGAACGAGTGAGACACCACTTAGCAGCCCCCCTTGATTTTCACAATCAAACACAAACAAAAAACAAAAAGAAAATACTAACATTTCCAGTCTACAAACGCTTGTGTTTGCATTTCAGGATTCAAATCCCCCATATCTGAAACCAGCTAGCTTTGCTAACGCTAGCCCGCTTTTCCCGTTTGGAGGCAGTGCTGCTGCCTTCCATTCAAACTTATCTCGGTTCATCTTGCAATTAAGATTGCCTCATTCACCCATCTATCTTTTTACCAACATATCTCAATAGGTAGCTAAGGCTTTTGGGTATTGTAAAATAATACCTAGTCCTAGGACACTAAAACAGTAGTTAATTAGTAAGGAGTAACCTGTAAGATACAGGTATAGTAAGAGAAAAACAAAACGTACGGTTGGACACAATTCCTTAACAAAGTTGTTGGTTGGTGTGGGTGTTATTGTCCACCCTGGCAATGTTTGTCTTCTGAATAGGAGAAAGGAAGACGTGGCAACCGTACTAAGATCACCCCTGTACACCATATAATCCACCAAAGCCCTATTCACCATCACCTGCCCTATTCACTTCTTACTTTACTGAAATTTACCACTATATATCCTTTCATTCTTAATTAATTTTTAAGCAAAAAAAAAACAATAAAAATTAAAATATTCTATTCATGTGAACCATAAATTTTATTATAATATATTTTTAATTTTGTTCAATTTTAAATAAACAAAAATAACAAAATTGAAATAGGTCATTTGCCAATTGCCAATTGCCAATTGCCAAAGCATTGGCAAATCCTATTAATTATCTGAATCGACTCTCGGCTCTCCCGTGACGCCCTTTTATGTCTTCCAAGCATTTCAGATTACATGTTGCTTCGCACCCAATTAACCCTTTGTTTTCTTACACAAAAAAACTTTATTTTAAAAACATCTCGAAAAGAAAGGCAGGAATAATAAAATGAATTAGAGTTGTTACTCTGCATTGACAACACAATAAATAATTGGGGAATGACTTTGTGCTGAGTGTGGGAAAGCAGGTACGTCTGATCTTGACTTGCTGAGGGTACGTTTTCCTTCTGATCATTTAATTCATAAATGTATGATTGTCCAGTCATGTCATTTGCCTTCATTTTAGTCTTTACGACACTCAACATTTATGTTCTTCCTTGTACATAATATTTAATTAGTTTCCAGCCTCCCAGATTAAAAGAAGATAAAAAATATGTTCACGAGAAAGATGATCACAGTATTGATGGTACTATTTCGTGTTACGAGAAGAAAAATCATTGAAAAAGGAAATGTTGTTTTCTACTAAGCAAAGCAAATTGTAATACAACAACCCATTGAAGTTTTGAATGGAGATAAATACTTAAAATCATATACACCGCAAGTTCCATTACATGAACACAAAATTGGTGGCAGTCATGAGACTATCATCAATCCACCTAAGTCAGTAATGGAAATGCCCCATGCCAATTCTGATTGCGGGGAAAAGAGACCAAAAAAGGGAGAAAACTCCATCACTAGCTCGAATCAAAAATTAACCATACTTAAGCGAAGATTAATTAAACCATGAGCAACCCCAGTAGCACATAGTAATGAACATGTAGTGAGATGTAACCTAAACAATTTTTCATATTCTAATTTTTGATTTTTGAGTGACTGCCAAGATTGTTTTGGTTTTTTAAGAAAGAGGAGCCCTTTGGGGAGCACCCTTCCTCTTGTTGCCGAGGGAGAGAACAATGCCTCCAAGGAAACCACTGCCCTTTTTCTTCTTCCTCCCAACCTGGGTATCTCGTAGTGAGATTTCTGAATTGGCTACGGTGGTCTCGTTCGAACACGATGATCCTTTGTACTGCAAAGGGTCCTCTAGGATGGAGTTTGGAGTGATTTGATCGTCGTCAATGAGCTCGGGGCCGTCCACTCTTAACCCCTCAAATTGTGAGAATGCAAAATCTGATTCATCAATCTTGTGTAGAATGGTTGACAGATCCTCCCCTTGATCCGCCAAGTGATTCACCTGCGCATATACATTTTCACTAGCTAGTTACCAATTAAGCGGCATCAAGACAAGAAGAGAGGGTTGGTTGGTGGAATTAAAAGCAGGAGATGAGGGAGGGGAAGCCACAGTTTTAAGAAACTGTCAGCCGTGTTCTTTTTGCTATCACAACCAATTACGTGGGATTTATTGCAGGAGTTTGCAGCTAAATTAAGAAATAACCATAGCAAGAAATTTTCTAGAACTGCAACTAAACATGGCCTTAGAGCTTAGGATACACTCTTAGAAACAGTGAAGGGTGGGGGTACAGCTGCTGCTGCTGAGTCAAGAAAGAGAAGATTGTTTTGAAAAGAACAAACATTGAAGTAAGAAATGGACCTTGCATGAGAGAGAACAGAAGTGGAATGGCTCCTGGAGAATCCTGTCACAAGTTAAGCAAATGTTGGCAGAGCCCTTACATGACCTTGATTGGGGCCTCTGATTCAAGAATATCACTTTGGCACCATTTATGGTGTAGGGCTGCCAAACAAAGTAAAAGATAAAATACTAATTATAGTTTTCACATTTACAATTACTGTTTCTCTGTCATCCAGCATAATCAATATCATACGTTACTCCTCCTTCTACTACTTCTACTACAAAGCATAATTTCTGTTCAATTTTGCAAAATACCTGAATATAGGAACATTCAATAAGCTTTTCAAGATCTCCCAACCGAACCACATCGTGGTAGACATATCGTCTCACCTGTCACATGGCGCACATTTAGAACATACACAAACAAAAATAAATAAATAAAAGACATTTCCCGTAATTCAATTCAAAAATCCCCATCATGATCTGATTGAATTACCAATACTTTTCATGCCCAGAAGCCTCAAAGATTAGCACTAGTACAAAGCAATATAACTGAATTATGAATGAAAGTAACTTAACTGTAACTGAACAAGGTGAATTTGAGTCCTGATGTAACTAGTATTTTACAATTCATGGTAAATCTGATACCAGTAACTTGTGTCTCCTGCCATATTGGAATCTAGGTGAAATTTTAGGCAAGGCAACCAACAGATTTAGAAAAATGAATTTAGGTATGTCGAGAATAGTAAATTAGTAATGACCCTCTTTTCTTTTGTCAAAATAAAATAATGGGGGGAATTGAATTGAGAGAGATATTGGGTCAAACTTTCACTATCTTTGAAAGCAACAGCTGAGAAACCTTTGCAGAGAAAATGGATAAAAAAGAAATCTTCCACATATGGGAAACAAACCAAATCCAAAAAGTTGGAATCAAGGAAGCACATGATAAACCATTTCTAGAATGACACACCACCTTAAATAAAACTTTAAAAACCATAACCTGGAACAAGATGAAGTGAATTAGAGATTCTTGCAAGTAATTAAAGACTGATCAGCAAGTTTTAAGAAAATAATTTGCTGAAATGTAAATTAATATGCAACACAGCCCAGCAAACATAGATAAAATTTACTAATCTCAGTTGTATGCTACTACATATGTTTCAAGCAATAAAAATTAACGCTAACTCCGTAAGTTGAAAGATACAAAAGACAATTGCATGAAAAAAAAAAAGTTCTGAAGAAGGATAGACTAGAATATATCAGAAAAGGGTTTGAGTGAGATTTCAGTGAAGCACCAGAAACTATTGAAATCACAGACAGAAGAAGTACCATCAGTTATTATCAGCTTCCATCAGAAAATAAAAACGTGTTTCCTCAAGAGAGTATAGGGTCGAAAGAAAAGAAGAGAACTGTTGAAAAGCCAGGAATAAGCAGGATAATGAATTCAATTGCAGAATTGAAGCATAAAACTGTTTGAAAGCTAACTGAAAGGGAATTGTAGTAAAATTGTCTTCAACTTAAATAAAAAAAAAAGAATTAAAAGTAATTCCCTGTACCCATTGCATAGGTGCCCGTGAATTCTGTACAGAGGCTAGAACAGCCTGGGATTGTATCCAGAAAAATCTTTTTCTTTTTCGTGGTACAAGCATCCATACAGAATTCAAGAGTTAAAAAGAATTGAGGTCTGTAACCAGTGAAAAAGTATAAACAGAGAACTGATTTAGGAAACTAGGCTACAAAAAAGAAAGATTTGAAAGACAGAGGGGGAGAGAAGAGAACAGATATATATATGGTGCAATTTGTTGATTAAAATTGTTGAAACTTGAGGCTGGCAGGCATCAGAAACACTGAAAACAGAAACCGGGAAATGTATCTGTGAGCAGAAGACGAAGTAAGAGGGATAGAATTCAGAGAATTTCTCAGGTACCCACAAAAGAATTGAGGGTGACCAGCAAAAAGGAACTGGCTTTTGCAAAAGGCGAAGAATGAAACTTGCAGAATTATGTGGGATACATGCACAGTAAAAGTGAATAGTGAATAGTACTAGTATCATATGCGTTCAGTACTGGTGATATATATGCAAAAGATATTGAGTAGTGAGAACCTGAAGGAGAGGGTGAGAGCGATGAGAAGGGAGGCAGTGGGGGCAGATGCTAAGGCAACACAGCAAGCAAAAGACGTTCTTCTCGTTCTTCCTGCGACTCTCGTGGACCCCACAAACCCCAAAGAATGTCTCTGCCATCAATCCCTCTAGCCATGCAGGTTTCACCACCATTTCCATTAACTCTCCTGATCCTTCTTCTTCTTCTTGGCCAACAGGCAACAGTAACACCACCACCAGCACCACCACTTCTACTATCTAGCTAGTATTAATATAACAAAGTGCTAGTATTTTCGTCTCTTGCCATTATATAACTTTCTCTCTCACCCTCTGAAAAAGAATTCTAAGTTTTATATATTCAAAATTGGTACAGATTTTGGTTTATATAATTTGAGAGCTTTGTTTTATACCACGGAGAATATTGAAGACCCAATGCTCTAATGCTCTCTTTTAAATGTATATATATATATATATACTTTAAGAAGAAAATACAAAACTGAGTTTGTATTGGTAATATTTCTACATGCTCTGGCTATGTATACAGTGTACACACCCCACAGGAGGTTCCAGAATTATTGTCGTTTCTATCTATTTAGTCTCTATTCTCTAACAGATGTGGAAGAGAGAGAATGAGAGACCATTTTCTCATATTCCTGTCCTTCTAAAGACAACAATGGAGATTAACTGAGACAATTAATGGGAAAAAAATCCCAGAAAAAAACACAAGCAAAGCTGATCCAAGCAAGACTATACTAGAATTACACTGATCCAAAAACAAAATAAAAGAAAATAAATAAATAAAAGAAAGCAAAACATGCACTGCAGTAGTAGTAGTGCTCTGTAATTTTCGCGGAATAAAAGTTTAGAGAGAGATGGGCAGTGGTGACGTGGAATGATGGTAATGGCGGGAAGGCAGCCCACCAATCTGCACTCCCCTCTTTCTTTCTCTGCGTACGATGGTACTATACCCTACACATCATCCCTCCTCGGCCTTTGGCTTTTGCCAAAGCTATTCAGCCACCCCCCTCTCCTATTTGAGCACTCCACCCTCCTTCTCATTTTACCCAATTACCCCCCTCCCATGCTTCCGACAACAACCCGTCCGTCCGTGCTTTCTTTCTCATAATTTTACATTACATATTTTAACAAAAAATTAATAATAAAAATAAAATTAAATATTAAAAAAATTACTTAACAAGTGATATAAAATTATAAAATGAACATTAAAAGAGATATATTAATACAGACAGATTTTTGTTCCTTTACTCAAATCTTTGTCTCCCCACCTAAACCAATAAATGGCAAATTGACACCCTCATTTTTCATTCCATAAATAAATTTCCTTACCCTAATTTATTTATATTACAAAGTATTTATTTTAATTTTTATAAAAAATCAGAGAGACAGAAGGATTATAAAGGATAATAAATAATCAAACCTACCAACATCATTAATCAAATATTGGGTTTTGAATGGTGGTGGTTGTATGGCTGTGGATGGAAATATGGCATGTGAGCAAGATTAGTTTGTCTCTTTCGGCTTGAGGTATACAGTAACAGTAGCCTTTACCTCGGTTTTTAAGCTTTTGTCATATGATGAAAAAAATGTCCCTGGTCATGGTTTGGCCCAGTGTATAATGTTGCTCTGCCAAATTCCACCATTATTTATATTCATCGAACTGCTGAAACAACATTTTTCTATTTATTGATTGACTCAAAACACCAAATTGTAGTCATGGTCCTCAATTAATTTTGGGAGCTGTGTCCCTTTTTAATTCTTTTTTGAAATTATTTATTATTATGTAGTTCTTAAAACTCTCACCTTTTTACTGAAATTGGTACTGGATTATGAATCAGGTGCAACCCCAAAAGTGGTTTAATTGTTAAATATATATATATACATACAAAGTAAATGGCAGCACTGATGGATTAAAGTAAGAGGGGACACCAAGTTAGATATGAGGACAGCTAATTAATTGGGAGATTATCTTTGAAATTATCTCATGTCTGAATAATTAGGATGATTACCTTCCATGCTTAATGTGTTCAAAGGTTTAACATTTGGAAATTTACTTTGGGTTCAATTTATACGTTCCATGATAATATAAAATTGGATTATATTCATAGTCTATAAGATTTCATTTCAAATTTAAAGATTTTAAGATTTCCTCTTTACAGTTAAGATGAAGTTTTTGTACGAACATCTAATTTAAAACAAAAAGAACAGGTCATAATATTACAAGTTAATTAACTTTATTGAGAGTTTAGGCTTCTAGTTCCATGAAAATTGTACACTTTGCACGTGTGAGGTAATGTGCAACCAGTTTTCCCAAAAATTCTCTTCAACCATATTCCAAAATATTACAAACCATTCACTTTTAAATCATTAGAAACTAATTATTATCTTCCACCTAAGACAACATTATACCATGCCTTACACAAAAAAAAAAAAAAAAACATTGTAATATATAAATTGCTACTTGTCTATCATTTCCATTATGATCTAAAATTAATGTCACTTTTCAAAAGAAATTTTTGGTCTAAAATGCGTTTTACCAAATTGTATTTTCGATGAAATATTGATTTTTTTCAATGAAAATTTTGTCAGAAAAAAACAATCAATGTTTTGGTAGTGTGTAGAGACAGACAACTCCACAAAATTTTGTTTTACGAGACTCGTTATAGAATCAACGGAGTTATTTGACCATATGCTTGGAATTATTTGGCTAAGCTACGGTCCTTGTACGTTGGGATTTCTCTAGAGGACCTTAGCTTTCAGGCTTTCAGCTGTTTGCTCGATTTCGTCACAAAACAAAGGCTTAAATCAGTCGATATTACGAATAATATGCATCATGACACTGTATCATAAACAAATTTGTGATTGCTCATCGCTTTACCCTTGCTGCAGTTTGCCCAAGGATCGTGTTACAACCCATCAGGATTTGCTGACTCCAAGGAAGGGCCCTGGATATTTGTTCTTGGGCCAACATGCTCTCATGTCCGTAAGTTGGTCAAGTTCAAAGCCTAGCTCGTTTATCTGTGAGCCTGTGGCTCCATTGTCCGACATCCAAGTTCATTTTCTTGATGAGGTATTGGGCTTGGGCGCTGCCGCTGATGACATGCAATCCAGCATCCAGAATTTCAGATGCAATTCTCATTGTTTTGATTAATCAGTAAGGTATTCACATTCACTTGTTCAACTCACAAGAACCCTTCTGGATTTGTCGTAGTCAAGAAAAAGAACCAACCTAACCTGTAATTAGCTAGTGAATATAGCAGTCAAAATGGTAGTCAGCATTTCATCTTTTAGTTGCAACTATGGAATTATTCCAGGTTTTGCTATGGATAATGGAGAAAAGATTGAGTACGTACTCATTGTACATCTGATTAAACCGTCGGGCCGGGTATCAATTTCGAATTTGATAGGTGGACCTACTCTTAGTTGATACTGCAACATCACATGCTCTGTTTGCAATCAATTCTTTTCTCTTCATTGATCTGTTTCTGATACAACGCTATAGCTGCTAGCTGATCACTGAGTACTAATCTTCAGGTGCAAGCTGCTTCAAGAGCAAGCATGGAAGCTAGCCAGCCAGCTAGATAGCTGCCATATCTCTTCTCTTCTTGTTACCTGTTATGCGAACATCATTGCATAGTTTTATTCTTTTAATTTCTATATATAGAAAGATACCAAGAGTTTTCCACCCAGGGTAATATGTAAAACAAATGCATGCTTGCACCAAAATCCTTCTGGTGCTGCTCTCTGATCTTTGTGTTCAGGAACTTTGTCGGTGACTCTTTCCCAACCTACATATATAGATAATGTGCAATTGCATGGAAAAATCCCAAAAATGGAAAGAAATTTTATTTTAAAATCTGCAATAATTAGATATACTTTTTGATAGTATTGATTAAATATGTATATAAAGGAATTCAGAAAAATTCAGTAGTTATGAACTATAACTTTTAATAATTTTGATGTTGATGACTACCTTTTAATTGAGAGAATATCTATATCTATATCTATATATAAAGATGTATAATTGGGAATAGATTCGTAGATGTAATAATTGCAATTGAATGAGTGGAAATTTACAAGTCACAAGAAATTATGGATTACTTTGAATTAAAGATTAAATATAGAGCTACTAGGATTTGGCTCTGATTAAGACTGATTAACCTTTAAAGTTGATTTGGTCAAACACCATTGCGATTTGGTTTCCTTTGTAACAAAATGGAAAAGGATATGCCAACAGCTGTTAGATAAATTCGATTAACATAATGTTCAAATCAAGCATTATCAATAATTAAAAATATTCCTTTTTCGAGTGTCACCACACCAATCTTAACTGATTTTCAATCAAAAAATATTTCGGTGAAAATCCATTGAAAATATTTATTTCGACATTTTGTGAAAAATTTAAAAAAAATGTAATAAAATTAAAAGGGAAAAATTAATATAAATGAACAGAATTATAAAAGTAAAAATAATTATAATTAAATGATGACATTAATTACATGAGTGCATATATATGATAATAATATGGTATAAGGATATGAAGTGTTTGAATCATTGATTAAGCAATAGAACAAAGGGTGGCTTAAAACTAATCATTGAAGCAATAATTTTAGACATGTAATCCGTTTTCGATTTAAAATATCTAAAATAATATCAAAAAAAAAAATCTTACACTAAAATGGCATCACATTGAATTGAGATGATTATGGTCACAAGCTTTGATTGTAGTGGTTAACACCTTAGACAAGAAGATGGATAAATTTGGGCTACAAATCTTATCTTTTGAATCCCACATTAAGTATATTCCCCTATGAAACTACTCCTATATACAATTTTTGCATAGAGTTATATTTACTTTTATAAAACACACCCAAATATAGGGGAAAAATCTGATAAAAAGAAATGAAATGAACAGATGGATTGGTCTATAAAAGTATAATGCTCGGCATTGATGCGAAAAAAATAAATTAATAAAAAATAGAGGGATTCGATTGAACAAAAATGTCGGTCATTGTGGCTTTGGGAAATTCCAATGGGACAAGGTGACAAAACCAAAGATTAGTCAACATTTGGGAAATTTCAACTACCTTAAACAGTTAACATCCTCTACCCTTGTAAAAACATAGAATAAATATTTTGAGAAGTATTTTTATTTATGATTTTATCTCAAAAAGCAAAAAGAAATTGTGTTATCTTAGCCTAATAGGTTAATAAATAATCGGCGAAATTTTTAAAATTTTAATTTTTTTTGTCAAAATTTAAAAAAAAAACCCGAACATTTAATTTAAGAACTAAAGGGTGGGAAATTGGGAATGGAAAGGGGGGGCATCGACGACATTTACGTGCAATGTCCAGACTCCAGAAGTTGGTTGCTGCTTGA